GCATCCTCCCCAGCTGGTGTCACCATTTCCCCTCCATTTTCCATATCCTGTAGCATAGGCATCGGCAGTTGTGTTCCACCACCCGTCCTCCCTGGTCCACTCCCCCCACTCTGAATCTCCCTGATCATTCTCCAGCCCTCGACCGCAAAATTTCTGAATGTCGAGCCGAGGAAGGCCTCATTCATCTTCCTCGTTATTGATCCACCCCTGTTGCTCAACAATTTTTCGTGGAACGCCCTATCTGCTTCATTCGCCTCCCACGTGATAGCTCTGTGCTCGTCCTCCGCTCGCTTTACTGCACTTTGAATCGACACCACATCTGTGTCCTCCAATTCCTGCCACAAATCTCCCACTCTCTTAGGAGTGAACCCGAGCATCCTCTTGTACTTCGGCGGGGCCTGGTCCATGTATTCCATCATTTTTTTGGTAACTCGGTTGCTTTTCCGGAACGCCTCCACCCTTGCCAGCGCATCCTCCCTTAGCACAAAAAGAGCTGCCGCTCTCCTCCTCATCCTCTCCGTTACACTTCGCTTCATTCTTATCGTCCTGTCCTCTCCGCTCATAGCGAAGGCCCTCTCTGATGCTCGCTTCCATATCGTCCTGCATGTCTCCGCTCCCCTGTCCCCCTCCCCCTGTAGTGTTGCCTTTATCTGATCGGCACTGAGTCCTCCGTTGGCATAAAATGCGAAAACCAGGCTGTCCAACTGCCTCCTTGACAGAACCCCCTCCACCTCTGTTGGTATTTGTCCTCGCGTCACTCTGATAGCTGACTGCACTACATCCATTGTTTGACTCACCAGAGTTCCGTCGTCCTCCCAATGAAACCATTCCTGAATTGCACTACTACCACCACCCTTGGATGAAGATTGACCATCCCCCACCAGCTCTCCCCTCACCTCCTCGCTCGCTACTGATCTGAATCGCCTCCAGTCCTCCATATCTGTCAATTTCGCCCTCACCGTAGTCTCCCCTGCTCCCCCGCCCCCGATAACTCGAATTTGATGGCATAGAACTTTGTGGTAGTTGCACCTTCCGGAAAGAGGCGCATGCATCCCCGCCCACGTCACCTGTACCCTGTAGGCTTCGTTCACGAACACGTGGTCAATCATGCTCGACCCTCCCGACCCCGAGACCACCCTGCTTTCCCCATCTTCCTCCTCCTCCTCACTCTCCGCCTCCCTTCCCGCCTCCTCCGCCACCTGGTCCGGCTTGAACGACACCGGGAGCACTTTGAAGTCCCCATTGTCTCCACACGTCGACCCATAGAGATGTCTCTCTCTCTCTCTCTCTCTCTCTCTCTCGGCTATTAACAACGAAGGCGCTCTCAAAAAGAAAAGCGCGCAATTGCTGTTTGCGCGCAGGCACTCGAAGCTCTCCCGGAGGCGTAATGGAGCCGTCTGCTGCGAAGGGCCAGCAGCAGCAGCAGCAGCAGCAGCAGCAGCCCGCGTCGGCCGACGCCGATGCCGAGGCCCGCGGCGTTTTGGATAACGCCAAGGCGCGCATCCCGCACCCGTCTCTTGCCGTCAAAACCGCCGAAACACACACCCGGCAGGGAGCCTGCGCCGGAGCGGCGTGGCGCTGACGCCCGCGCGTGGCCTCTCGCTCCTCTTCCACCCACCTCTCCTCCTCCGGCGCCCCCAGGTTGCCGCCCTCGCCATCGGCCTCGACCAGGCGAGAGCTCTCCGCCCGTTCCCCAACCTCCCGCCTCCCCACACTCCCCGCCCCCTCCTCTCTCTCTCTCTCCAGGCGAGGGCCGGCCTCGGGAAAATCACCATGGAGCTCCAGTCGATCCAGGGCCAGGCGATTCCAACACACCCACACACACACACACCCACACACACCCACACCCGCACAGCCAGTACGCGCGCCGGCCCTCCGAACCCTCTGCCTCCCTCGCCTGCGTCGTCCCTGCACCATCCCTGCACCACCCCCCTCCACCCCCCTCCTATTCCCCCCCACCCCCCCACCCCCGGCCCCCTCCTCCTCCCCCGCAGATGGCGCAGCTCGGGGCGATGATGTCGCGACAGGCGGCGCACAGCGAGCAGCTCGAGTCGCGCCTCGCTCGCCTCGAGTCTGCTGCAGCGGCGCTTCAGTGGGCCGCCTCCTCGCCAGCTGTTCATTAGGTCTACTCACCATTAAACATTCACGAACTAGGCGCCGCAGTGGGCCGCCTCATACTCGCAGCAGCAGCTGCCGTGGGGCGCGCCTCTCCCTCCCCACCCACATGCTGGAGGTAGGGGGGGTGTGGACGAGGCGAGCCAGCGTGTTGCTGTTAGGCGCGCTCGCCGCCGACAACCTCCATCAATCAGTCCGCTGAGGAGTCAAGGTGAGTGAGCTCGCTCCTCCTAGGCGGCTCCGCCGTCTACCTGCCGCAGCAGTCGCCGCGCTCTTTCCAGCCGCCGCAGTACTCTCCCCACCCGCAGACTGCGTACGTGATGCAGCCGCAGCCGCTGCAGCCGCAACCCCAGCTCCTCGTGCAGCAAGGAGGCGGGTCGCCAATGTCCACCCGCTGATTGATTCCCAGTTCTCAATCAGAATGTGTTTCTTAGGAGGCGGGTCGCCGACCTTCCACCGCCCCCCCGCCGCCCCCCCGGCGCACGCTTCCTCGCTGCAGAAGCTACCACTCTACTGGTTGGATCAGTCAGCGACGGCTGCTAGTTCGTCGTAGGTCCCGGCCTTCTCGCCGCCGATGCAGTCGGGCGCCGTCTGCTGTGCCCACCAGCCGGCGATCATGACTTCAAAGTACGAGCTGCATGCCTCGTTGACTCATCAGGCGCCGTCTGCTGTGCCCACCAGCCGGCCAGCGCCCCCCCTACGGCGAGCAGCCGAGGCGGCGCGTACCACGGCGGCATCGTCCAGCCTAATTAGTTAATTAATTAATGATCAAAGATTACTTAATTAATTAGGCGGCGCGTACAACGGCGGCATCGTCCAGCCTGTCGCTCTCCCGAGCTCCGCCAGCGCCGTTGTCCCCGGCATCATCGGCCAGCACGCCGAGCCGCGCGTGCAGGGCTCTTTGCCGCCTGATTAGTGAGCTGCTCCTTGAGAATTAATTAGGCCACCACGCGGAGCCGCGCGTGCAGGGTTCGCTGCCGCCGAGCCGCGGGGCGTCCTCCAGCAAGCGAGATCTAGCCGAGATCTAGCCGAGGTGTAGCCGAGGTGTAGCGAGATCTAGCGAGATCTAGCGAGATCTAGCCGCCTTCCAGCTAGCGACCCTCCCCCCGCCCACTCACAGCCCCTTGCTTACGGCGTCTCTTCCCACCTCCCGCCCGTGCACAGGGCTTCCCCCGCAAGCCGCAGCGGCAGCAGCGCGCAGCCCGCAGCAGCGCATATGCCAACCAAGCCGACGATGCCCGCCCAAACGACCCTCGTCGCGCCACTTCCGTCGTCGCCCGTCGCGGCGGCGCCGGGCGCCGCACAGCAGCAGCAGCAGCAGCAGCAGCAGCAGCAGCAGCAGCAGCAGCAGCAGCAGCAGCAGCAGCCGCAATCGGCGGGGGTGCCGCAGCGGGCGGTGTTAGCGTCGTGCTTCCCTCTGAGCCGCTCGTCCGCCTTGTTCGTGTCGCCGTTGCTGAAGGCTGGAGGGGCGGAGGCAGCGGAGGGGCCAGCGGCGCCGCTGCTTGCGGAGGCGGGTGCGCCACTCGCGCCAGCCTCCGCCGCGTCCGAGCCGGCGCCGATGGAGATTTCGTCAACTGAGCCAGCGGCCCCGATGGAGGTGCTTGTGCCGGTGCTGCCTCCGGCCCCACCACGCGTTCCCGTCCCGGCAGTGACCGCTGGAGCCACAGCGGCAGCGGCGGCGGCGGCCGCCGCAGCGGCGGCGGCGGCAGCGGCAGCGGCAAAACCGGCGGCGGTGCCTCCAGCTCCGCCAAAGTGTGGCGTCCCAATAACCGCAGACGCTGGAGCCACAGCGGCAGCGGCGTCGGCGGCCGCCGCGGCGGCGGCGGCGGCAGCGGCAGCGGCAAAACCGGCGGCGGTGCCTCCAGCTCCGCCAAAGTGTGGCGTCCCAATAACCGCAGACGCTGGAGCCGCAGCGGCAGCGGCGGCGGCGGCGGCGGCGGCGGCGGCGGCGACGGCGACTGCGGTTCCGCCACAAAGTGGCGTCCCGATTGCAGACTCTGGAGCCGCGGCGGCGGCGGCGGCGGCGGCGGCGGCGGCGGCGGCGGCGGCGGCGGCGGCGACTGCGACGGTGCGTTCGAGCGTCGGCGTGCTGGCGTCGGCGACATGTCCTCCGCCTGAGACGCGTCCACGACACGTCCCTCAGGCGCGTTCGAGCCTCGACGTGCTGGCGTGCGCGGCGCGCGAGCCGCTCGCCGATTCCTTTAATTATCAGCGAACTAAGAGCGAGTTAAGAGCTAATTAAGAGTACATTAGGCGCGCGAGCCGCTCGCCGATTCATTTCAGAAGTGGCTGTGGAGAGGGGACATCAGACGTGGACTGTGTGTGTCTTTGTCTCTGACAGGCGGGCGAGCCGTCCCCGAAGCGGCAGACGCCAGGAGCGAGACGCGGCGGCAGCGGTGCCGCGGAGCCCGCGATCGGCGCCTCTTGATTGGGGCTGGCTGTGAACAGGAGCGACGCTTGCCAGCGACGACGAGGAGGGGATCTCCGCCGCGCCGACGCACAAGGCGTGCCGGACAGAGCGCGAGGTTGCGACGGCAGCTTGCTACGGCTGGGAGCAAGGCGCGCGCTTCCGCGGCGACGAGTCGTCGACGGGCGACGAGAGCAACGGCGACAGCGCGGCGGGTTGCTGAGCTCTGCTGCAGTCCGCTTGCGTGTGCGGGGCCGGCGGTTCTGTGGCCGCAGCGCCGCGGACTTTCTTTGACCCCGCACATAGGTCTTTTTCCCTTTTTCCCCCAGAGCACCAGAGAGTGGTGAGAACGCTGCGGCCTCGCGCTCGCTGCCATGAGAATCCTCCTTTGAGCATGCGTGGGGTGTTTTGTGGGTTCTATAACCCACAAATCTAGACTCAACAGTGGACGGGTGTGTCCCAGTATCCGTTTTCATGTACTAATATTTACTTATTTATAACCCGCCGAGCATAGCGCGAGTGCCCCTTTGCTTACACGCGCGGTAGCCGGTACACAGAGCTCGACAGAGCACAACCCCCCGGCCGCCACAACAAGCGGGTGGCGCGCCCCATGGCGATCGAACGCTCAGTGAGAGAGGCGGAACCGCGGGGGCGGGGGTGGGGGCGGAGGGGAGAGGAGTGCGGTTGCGGAAGAGCGCGAGGAGCAGGGGAGCGAGGCCGCCGTGGCAGGGCGGCGAGTCGCCCTCACTCCGCCTTGCGAACCTTTGAGACCACGTTGCCGTCCTTGACCCAGAACCAGTTGCGGTGGAGGAAAGTGTGGATGTCGAGGGCGAAGGAGGGGGTGGAGCGGTGCTTGTACAGGTTGGTGAAGCCCTCCCTCTCGAGCCCCTCGCGCATGCCTAAGGAGTGGCCACTCATGCATCACCCGTCGCGGCTACTCCTGCCCCCTCGCGGGCGCCTCGCGACCTTCACTCAGACTACCGTGTTGCCGCCCTGGCTAGACCGCGGCCGCATCTCGGCCGCATCTCGGCCGCATCTCGGCCGCATCTCGGCCGCATCTCGGCCGCATCTCGCCCTTGGTCGCAGCGGTCAGGTGGTAGTGCGGGATCTTCGTGAAGAAGAGGTGGTGCCTAGGCGACGACGGGTGACGGATCGCCCACTCTGTCCGGTGGCAGTGCGGCATCGGCGGGAAGGAGCGGCGCATGACGTGCCCGTCGGTGATGTTGTGGTGGAAGTCGTCGATGCCGAAGCCGTACCTGTGCACAGCTAGAGGTGTGAAGAGACGCCGTTCACACCGCCCGAATCCTCGATGCCGAGGCCGCACGTCCGATCGATCGTCTCGAAGGCGCCGCGCACGTACGACCACGCGCCGTCGCGGAAGAGCAACATCTCGTCAAAGTGGTGCTGGAAGAAGGTGACTGTGAAGAGCCACCAGCCGTACCACATCCAAGGAAGGCAGTACGCGCGCACCTGAGCATTGCAGAGTGAAAGACCCGTCCATGGCGAACTCGCATCCGCGGCAGGCAGTACGCGCGCACCACGCAGTCGCCGTAGACCTGGTACCACAGGCACATGCTGGCGGCGGAGACGGCGGAGGAGGCGTAGCCGCGCAGGAAGTCGCCGAGAGACGCGTCTTTCCAGAGCCGGCCGTAGAGCGGGAGGAAGTGGCCCCCGTCGGGCTGGCCGACGTACAGGTAGAGGAACCTACCGCCGTCCAGCCAGCGGAGTGTGAGCCACGCGCTGCCAGTCGGGCTGGGCGGCGTGGAGGAAGAGGCGGCCAGTTGACGAGGGGGGTGGCGACGCGGATGGCGTAGTGGAAGGCGAGGTGCGGGATGCGCATGATCTTGTGCTGCTGCGACTCCGTGAACCACATATGCGAGTAGTCCTCCTGCTCACAGCGGGGAGGTGTGTGAAGAGACGCCGCCAACCACCGCCCGGTCAGGCAGGAGCCGCGGCAGCAGGCGCTCCTTGATGTGGTTGTGGTACGAGTGGTGCCTGTCGGGGCGAGGTAGGGGGAGATGGGGGCAGATAGGGGAGAGAGGGGGAGATGGGGCAGATAGGGGAGATAGGGGGAGATAGGGGGAGATGGGGGCAGATGGGGGAGAGAGGGGGAGTACCCGCGGGTCGGGCGGAGGGGGTACTGGGTGATGGGTCTAGCTCTCCCCTCCATACGACAAGGCCACTTCGAGTGTGCGCAGAGGTGGTCAATGCGAGGGGAGACGTCGGGACAGAGGGGGCCGGGAGGCCGCTTTTGTCTGTCGGTTGCCTGTGGTGCGAGCGGCGCCACGGCGCGAAGGGCGTGCACAGCAGCACGGAATGCGAGACCTCGCCCATGATCTCGTTGACGGCGGAGGAGGGGGAGAAGGTCGTGTGGCCGCAGTCGTGCCCGACAACAAACATGCACCACATGAAGAAGCCTACCTCGCAGCGAGGCCTGCGTCAGCAAGGCGGAGCACGGGACCAGAGCCCCGGCCGAGAGGCGAGCCTGAGGCGAACTGCAGCGGCCAGAGGGCAGCGTACTGGACCAGCAGCGGGAGCGCGGCGAAGGCGGCGCTGCGGCAGAGCGCAAGGATGGCGGCCTGGGTGCCGAGGATGCACGATGCGTCGCGCACAAAGTAATACATCGACTTCGCGGTCGACTTCTCGAAGCAGCTGGCCGGGATCCACGCCTTGATCTGGGAGAGCGAGGGGTACTTCTGGTCGATGACGATGTCGGGGAACTTGGCGTCCTTGGGCCACTCTTGCTCGATCGAGAACTTGTCGTCCTGATGCCACTCCGGCGCGCGGCACATGGCTGCGGGCGAAGAGGCCTGCGGAGAGAGCGGGCGGCGCCGGTGAGGCGCGGGGCGGGCCTGGGCGTGAGGCGAGGGCGGAGTGTGCAGCTGTTACGGCAGGTGGCGTCGCGAGTGGGGCTGTGCATCGGCGACCGCCTCGCGATACAGGCGAAGCAGAGAGAATCAGGGAAAAAAGAATTCCCGCAGGGAGAATTTTACTAAAAAGAGAATTTTAGAAAGAACTCCCAGAATTTTAAAAATAAACTCCCTCGCACGACACTAGGCACGGGACTACGACTAGCGCGCACTGGCACTGGAAAAAGAGAATTTTACAACCGGGGCTCTTCGAGACGGCAACACAAACCACCTGCACCATCATACAAAACAACAAAGATTATGGTATGGATGCTATATGTCTCCTCTAGAGTGTGTGCGCTTGCAACACAATCATCTCGTTCGCTCACCCCCTCGGAGGGGGTGAGCAGGCCTGCCCTTCCTTACGGCCGTGCTCTGCGCGTGCCTCACTCTGTGCGCGCCCTGAGCGGGCGCCCGCGCCGGCTCTGTGGATATGCCGGCCGGCCAGTCGCGGCGAGGCTGGGTGCACGTGTGAGGACCTCTCTACCTGGTGAGGACCTCTAGGAGGACCTGCCCGTGAGGGGACCTCTGCTTTGCTCTAGGACATGATTCACGGCGACAAAAGCCAATACGCCCCTGCGGAAGCAGGAGGGCATCACTCTCAGGAGGAGAGGTCCTCATCAGTCAGGTCCTCACGGAGAGGTCCTCACGGGACCCGCTGGTGACGCTGTGTTGCCCTTGAGCTAGTCCTTCCCCGGTCGCCTAGCCTCTGCGCTGTCTAGCGAACGCCTGTATGCCATGCGCGCGGACCACGCTTGCGTGGATGCGTGGCTGGCAGGCTGACTCGTGTGCGGGGTAACCCGCGCACGGGGAAGCTTCACGGGTTCGAGTCGGAGCGGCCGCACATTGCTCGGTACCCCCCCTGCACATCTAAAGTCATCGCTGCTGCTAGGGGGGGGGGGTCTGACCCCCCCAGCAGCAGAGCGCTGCTGCTGGGGGGGGGGTCCCGACCTCCCCAGCAGCAGAGCGCTCCTGCTGGGGGGGGGGGTCCCGACCCCCCAGCAGCAGAGCGCACGGACCCAGCTCTCCCCCGCCTCTTCGCCGCCGCCCCGCCACCCTCCACCCTGGGGTGCCCCGCACCGCCCGGCTGACAGTAGGAGGGCCCGCCGGTGAGACCACTGATTTTGGTGCCGACCATAAATTCTCGCCACTGGAACGCATGCTACTTACAGCTGCTGTCTGTACAGAGATGCCAGCACCCCCCACAGGCAGAGCGCTCCTGCTGGGGGGGGGGGTCTGACCCCCCCGCAGCAAAGCGCTCCTGCTGGGGGGGGGGTCCCGACCTCCCCAGCAACAAAACGCTTCTGCTGGGGGGGGGGGTCGGCCATGACTTTAGATGTGCAGGGGGGGTACCGAGCAGTGTGCGGCCGCTCTCGTCAAACATTGAGCAGCGGAGGTGTGCCGAGGGGGACCGGGAGGCGGTAAGCCGTCGTCGCCCGGCGCTGCTTGCAGCACCATGGCGATGGCGCTAAGAGGTTCCTCTTTTCCGCGCCCCCCCCGCAAGGCGCGCGATACACACACACGCCCGGGCCGGTGCTTGCACTTTGAATGCCGTGGGGCTCCTGCCCATGTCCGGGCGTGGAGATGCGAGGGTCTTGCCCCACCACTTTGTGTGTAAAGAAAGAAAGAAAGAAAACACACAACCCAAGGGAGGGATGGGAGAACGGCACTTTGTGTGTAAAAGAAAGAAAGAAAGAAAACAGACAACCCAAGGGAGGGATGGGAGGACGGCACGCCGCCACTTTGTGTGTGTGGAGTTTAGCTTGCCAACTTACCTTCTTTTTCACGGCGCGCGGTTTGGCGACCGCCTCGTGTTCTTCCCCCGTCCAAGGCCACGGCTAGCCTTAGAGAACCCCGTTCCTCTCGCGCTCGCCCCGCCGCATCGCACCTCCGGTGCCGCCGCAAGCTACACGCCTGGACGCCCGCGACGCCTATTGCTCGCGGCTCGCCGTGCCCGCACCGCTCCCGCCGAGCGATGCGCCTCGCTCGCCTGTTCCCCCCTCAGCCTAACACCGCCTGCACCCTCCCGCCCGCAGGTGGCCACTGCCATCGCGGAGCCGCGAGACGCGTCCGCTGCTGCCCATTCGCCACCCTTGTCCCGCACGAGCCAGCGCCGGACCGCCCTTCTGCCGGCCAAAGCCCGCTCGCTCGCTCGCGAGTCGCCGCCCGGCTCCAGTCCGAGCGCCGTGGACGACCGAGGGTGTCGGCAGCCTATCACGTTGTCGTTGCGACGCTCACGCCGCGGCGTGCTGCCCGTAGGCGCAGCTCTACTCTCTCAGGCTCGACCCTTCCAACCCCAAGCCCGAAACAGACGCCGCGTGCCCCTGGCACTGATCTCGACCTGCTTGTGCGTAGGCTGTCGCGCATGAAGCAAAGTGTAATCTTCTCCCTGCTTGCGGGCGCTGCCGCAGCACGACCCAACTTTTTTGCCGCGCAGCAGCTGGCAGCTGGCGAGCTGGAGGATGAGCTTGAAACGGCGCTGCTTTCAATGCAGGACTTGAGCCTCTTTCAAGGCGTCCACGGCTTGTGGCCAAAACCGGAAGACTTTCCAGACCTGCTGCCATGGTTTTCCATCAACCTCCGGTTCCTGCGCATGGCCTACACGGCGACGTTTGCGCTGAGGTCCGATGCGCCATTTGACTCGTCGACGCTCGCCTTTCTCCGCAAGGTCATGCACCGCTGCTTCGCGGTGCACATGACGCTTGGTCCGGTGAGCTACTATCGCCTCCTCGGCTCGGTGGACGATCGTAGGCTCAACAAGATTGCGTGGGCCCGTTATGATCTCGTCAACGTAGCTTTGCACAACATGCAGACAGACTCGTTTGTGTCCCCGCCTGGCCTCGATGCCTACTGTGGCGCCATCTCGATCGAACACGACCAGCTGATTGCTCGCGCTGCGGCGCTGGGCGTCACGCCCTCGCCATTGACGCCAAATGCCTCGTTTGTGGCCTTGTGCGCCGAGGGCGGCTTCGTCAGCCAACTCGTGGTCCTGGACTGGGTGCGCCTGCGTGTGCCTTTCATTCTCCGGCCGTTCCTACACTGTGTTGAGGTTCTCCCAACCGTGTGCGCAGGAGCAGCACCGCCAAGGGTACTTGGGAGCCTACTTTCAGGCAGACCCCACGATTCGGGACGCGCTCATCACGCATCACTTCCTCCACTGGGATTCCCTTCTCGTGGCCCAGGGCGACGCTGATCGGGGCACCCTCCTGCTCGAGGTGGTCCGACTCTTTCGTGATTCCTTCCTCCCGCTGCAGCGCATCTCACCCATGTGGAATGACCTCGTTGTGCGCGCGGCTTGCGACGAGGCCCCTGGAACATGCGATAGTGACTCCGACAAGGAAGATCCACGTCCACCTCAGATTCCCTGCCCGGTCGGGTGTGTGGTGGGAAGCCAGCCGTTGATGGGCGAAGAGCGCGCGCTTCTCTTTGCCGCAGCGCCACCGATCTGCCCAAAGGGTTGCGTGGCATGAACGCGCATGAGCGCCCTCCTCCCGCCCTGAAACGGGAGCTGGGGCTTGCCCCTCTCTCCTTCAGCATCGCCTTCCGCAGCGCGGGCGGCATCGACGACGTCCGCGTACGCCGGCGCGGCCTGGAACGAGACGCTGGCAAGGCGGAAGCTCAACCCCGCCGCAGTGGGAGGCGCGATCCCCTGGGCGCAGACGCGCCGCCCGCCGTACATGTAGGAGACGTTATCAGTACTGCTATGTATACGTACCGTCCGGCCCTATATGCACCCGTGTGTCCTGCCTATGCATTGGCAGGGTTAGACGTCGCGCGAATGCATAGTCCATAGCGTTTCTTATGCAATATGTACGATGTTTTCGCCTTATGTCTCAGCAAACAGTGCAGCGCTGCCAATGTCGCATTGGCGCTATGAGCTATGCATTACGTATCCGTATTATGCATCACTCAGCGGCGCCTGCACTTGGGAGTGCTACAGTATGAGCTACGCATTACGTATCCTTTCCCTCAAGCGCCGAAAGCCCGCCGGAGAGGGCTATGTACTACGCATTACGTATCCGTATTATGCATCACTCAGCCGAGCCTGCACGTGGGAGGGCTAGCCGAGCTCGTCTTACTGCGAGGGGCGGTCGAACGCCTCCGCGAGGACCTCGAGGCGGCCAACCGGAGAGATCAAGCGAGGAGAGATCAAGCGAGGACTCTGGGCACAAGCCACGGCTCGATTGTCTGTACCTGCCACCTGTTCCCCAGCATGAGGATCGCGGCGCAGGGCGCGAGGTGGGCGTAGAGCCATATGTGTTGCATGCCCACGAGGAAGCACTCGTCGACGACGATGGCCTCCTCGTGGGCATAGTCGGCGGGTGACTCGGCGAGGGCGCGCACCGCCGACTCGTGCGTGCAGGCGTACCGCCTGCTTGACCTTCTCGCCTTGCTGAGCTTCTGCTCGGTCTCCGCCTTCAGATCGCGAGTGGGCGCCACCCACAGCCACGCCTTGGTGGGGCAGTGGCCGCCCGCGTGGTGTTGACGACTGGTCAGCTCGAGTTGCCGTTTTGGATTTCCCGCAGGACGGTGGTCTTGCCAGCCCCCGGTGGCCCCTCGACCACAGAGAACCTGTCCGCGTGCACGTCCGTGTCCAGCAGGAGGCCTCGGGTGGGCTTCTTTCCTTTCAGCAGGTGCTTCATTTTGGTGCCAAAGGCGCCCGTCGTCGAGCGCTCGCCGAAGGCTTCGGCTGAGGACGTCGGCGGCCTTTCCAGGTTGCCGCCCACGCTACGGAAGGTGCAGGTGTACACCTTGTACCGACATGTCGGTAGGCGCGCAGCGCCCACACCTGCTACCTAGGTGTGTGAGTGAGTGCTATACCTTCAGCGCACCTTATACCGAGGTACCCACCACATGTCCACACCGGCACCTGGGGTACTCTCGAGACGTTCACACCGGCGGTGCGCGCGAATAAGGTGTGCACCGTCGCGCGAAACGCAACGACATAGCTCTCATGGCGCCCAAGAAGCCCTCCTCCACGCAGAACGCGACGCTCCAGTCCATGGGCATGGACGTGATCAAGTAGTACCCGGGCCCGCTGACAGTCTCAAGGGCCGTCAAGGTGGACGTTCCGGGCAAGCACTTCCCGCAGCTCACCGGCGCGGAGCAGAACGCGTCGTACACGTGTTTGTCGAACGTGTTTGAGGGAGGGCCGGTCTGCGATGCTGTCGCTATCCGCCGCGGAGAGTACAGGCGCTCGCTCCGTCGGCAGGGCATCCGCCAACTTGCCGCCGCTGCTGCCAAGGCAGCGCCCGCTGCTGCCACGGCAGCGCCCGCGGCGCCTCCGTCGGCCCCGTCCCGCGCGCAGCCACGCAGCCACTCAGCCGCGTCCGCCGGAGCGACCGCCGGTGTGAACGGCTGACGAGGCGACCTCGGCCATCGACAAGATGGTCGCGAGGGAGATCGACAGCTTCACGGCCATTAACGACAAGATTGTCGCGCAGGTCATGATTAAATCCAATCATTCATCCACTTGCCAATTCAACTCTCATCCACCGACTCGTATTTTCGTTTGTGTAGGGTAAGGACTCCGAGTACTACAAGGACACAACCATTCGACCTGCACAATCTCTGGCTCGACAACAAGTTCTCGCTGCCTCTGCACTACGCGGTCTACATCGCCGAGGTGGGCTGCAAGAAGGTGGCGGCCGCCAACGTCGAGTCCGTCTTCTCAGGCGCTGGCAAGTTCACGCTGGAGGCGAAGTCTACGGGTCCGGTGTACCTGCGGCAGATCGTCAAGGTGCACAACAACTGGAAATACCTGTGCTTGCGGCCCACCGAGGAGGCGATCATCGCGCGCTACATGCTGAAGCACGGCAACATCTCCGCCCCCTCGGCTGCACCGCCCTCCACCTCGCCGGACCCATCGAGCTCCGATGCTGCCGCTTCGGCTGCGCCATCCTCGGGCTCGGCCACAGCCCGTCGACCTCCGGCCACGCCGCCGACCCACCCTCCGCCGACCCGCTCGGTGGCGTCGACATGTCGCTGCTGCCTCCAGCGCGCCGGTGTTCTCCAGAACACGCCATATGCTGCTATGAGTGAGTAGCGTGTCGGGCGGGGCCGTCGGGAGGGGGCGAGCGTGTGTCCGGCGAGGCGCCCATACCTCACCCGTACCTTTACCGAGGTAGCGCGCGGTGTCCTATACCTCCACCTTAGGTAAGTGGCCCAGCGCGATCTGGGGCAGCATTGGCGCGGTGCGGAGAAGCCGGCGCAGCTGCTGTGCGCGCTCTCGTCGCCGAGCGCGAAGCGCGTGCCAGCGGCGGGCGCTGCTGCGGCGATGCACTTCTCCGAGCTGCCGGCGGACGCGCCGGAGCGCGAGGCGGTGGAGGCGCGGGCGGCGGTGATCCACGCTCGGCGCGAGGAGGCCGCTGCGGAGCAGAAGGCGCTGGAGGCGGTGCGCGCGACGGCGCCGCCGCTGGAGGCGGAGGTGGACGGGGCGGACGGGCCGGATGGGGATCATGAGGAGGGCGACTCCGCGGAGAAGCTAGCGGAGAGGGCGGTGAGGGCGGCCAACGAGCGGCTGAAGAACGCGAGGGTTCGTGCCGCACGGGCGCTGGGGCGAGTGCGGCGGGGGGAGGGTCGACCGAAGCTGTCGAAGGCCGTGCTCGCGTTGGTGGCTGGCGATCCAGACGTGGTCAGGGAGGCGGCCGCGGTGGAGGAGGCGAAGCGCTGCCGCGAGCAGGTCAAGTTGCAGAAGGCGGGTGATATCAGCATTTTCATTTCTTAAAACAGACCCAGAGCACCCGTTTGTGGTCTCCACCGCCGTCTCGGCGGCCATGACGATTGGCAGCGCAGGGCTCATCTGCGCGCTGCAGCCGCGGCTGCTGCGCTCGGAGTGGGCGTCCCTGTCGCCGATGGAAGGGAAGGCCGGCTGGGCCACGGCGACGAACAGGAGTCTGGAGCTGGGGCGGTGGAAACTTTGGCAAGCTGGGCCACGGCGACGAGCAGAACCGGCTCCTGCCGAAGAAGGTCGAGGCCTTTGCTGGCCAGCGCGTCGTCGCTGTGTCGGCCGGAGCATTCCACAGCCTCGCTCTCACTGCCGACGGCGCTGTCTGGAGCTGGGGCCTTGGAGGCGATGGCCGACTGGGTCACGGCGACCGGCAGCAGCAGCAGCTGCCCAAGAAGGTCGAGGCCTTTGCTGGCCAGCGCGTCGTCGCTGTTTCGGCTGGAAGCAGCCACAGCCTCGCCCTCACCGGCGACGGTGCCCTCTTTACCTCGGGCAGGGGCGGGGACGGCTGCCTAGGCCACGGAGAGGACCTGTCGAACCAGCTGCTGCCCAAGAAGGTGGCCTTGAAGGTCGAGGCGCCGGCGCCGGCCGGCGCATGAGATACATGTATGCATGTGCATGTATGTGAGTAAACCGGCGCATGAGCGAGCCGGCTGTGTGTGTTCGTGTGACTCTGAAGGATTTTTCGTTTTTTTCCCTCAGCGTGAGTGAGTGAATGAACCAGAAGCAGAACCGGAGAGGGCAGCACGCAAATCGCAATGATCATGCACGTAATTTAAGAGAGGGGTGAAATTCTGAAAAACGTGCAGCACTTCTAGCCGACATCGACAAAAGTCACTCTCTAGCCCCGCGGCGAGCGGCCCCGCCGGAGGCGAAGAAAATTTTGCCATCTAGGCGCTCTCTTTAACACACAACGTGAGGCCGAGGAGAAGGAAAGGAGGGAGGCGGAGAGACGCCTCGAAGCGGGGAGAGGCAGAACGACAAGAGCGATGGGGAAGGCACTCAGAACGACCCACCGCGAGCTAGAGAGCGGAGGCCGGCGCGGGAAGCGCGATTGCAGGAGCGACGATGCGGCGAGCGCCGGAGGGAAGCGCGGCCAAGGCGATGGCGAGGACGAGGAGACACGGGACAATGGCAGGCGAGACGAGGAGGACGGAGGCGAGGGAAGAGGCAGCGCCGCAGTCGACGGAGGCAACAACGATGGAGAAGGGAAGGGAGCGACACCGCGCACAGAGGATGAGGAAATAAACTGGGACGACGCAGCGGAGGGGATAGGCGAGGGAATCGAGGGACCGGAGGGCTTTCGCGACAGCGACGATGACGACGAAGGAAGGGGAGAAGACGGAGGGGCGACACGCAGGAGGAGCGAAATCGCGAACGGCCCGAGCAGAGAGGGCGACGGCGGAGCACGAGGGGGCAACGGTAACGCTACCAATGACGCGAACCGAGGCATGGGCGACGACGGGGACGGGGAGGGCGACAGCGACGTCGAGGTTGACGCAACCGTATCGAGAGCGCCACCCAAAAGGGGGCGGACAGCCATGGAGGTCACCGAATGGAAGGCGAACGGCACGATACGAAAAGGCAGGGCGAGGCGGATGGAGAAAGAAGTGCCGAGGAGGCCATGGTGGAGGGGAGGGACGGGAGGACGAAAGAAGGGCGAGGAGGACGAGCGGCCCGCACAGGCCGCGAGCAGACAGCGCCTGCTGGCCATTTCGAGACATTCGCAAAGAACGCTAGCAAGCTACATGGGAGGGCTTCGTGAAAATTGGATTGAAAAACATTCGAACAAAGAAGATGCGACGGGAGGAACCAGCTGTGACAGTCGCCGGCGTGGGCGGGAGGGGCGACTGTATCTCTGAGCAGGCGCGGTAGCGGCAGACGGGCAAGCCACAGCTGGCAAGATGTCGATCGCCATACGTGGCGGCACAGGAGGAGGAGGAGGAGGAGGACGAGAGGGTGATTAGGGAGGAGCGGAAACGCGCACTCCGAGGAGAGGCTCCGACGATGACGCTGCAGGAGTTTTCGGACCTCGAACAACGAGTCTTTGCGCGCGCCTCGGTGCGCGCGGCTCAGCCGGCGCCGCTTTCGAGGTTCGAGGAGCTTGGAGACGAGATACGGGTCGAGGGGGCTCGTTTGGGGGCGCTCGAGTTCAAGGCGAAGGAGGCCTTTCTGGCGCGGAGCGGACTTAGCGGCCAGGCGTTGGAGGCCGAGGAGATGCGGTTGATGCGGCTGAGGGAGGGGGCGAGCCTGCTCCGCAGGACGCCTCGCTGCCGCGGCCACGCCCCTCGGGGCGAAGAAGGCGGGCAAGCGTGCAGCGGAGGCGGCGCGCAAGGCGATTGCGCTTGAGAGGGAGGTGTGGGTTGACGGGGAGTGCCGGGGTGGGCGTCGTGAGGGTGAGGGCGATTGCCGCCCTCCCCCCTTCGCCTACCTCGACGCCGTCGCGTAGGCGCCCCCGCGACTGTGCCTCTTTTGGTACTGTGGCGTACCTGTGTCGAACCTGTGTGCTGTGAGAGAGAGTTGTGTTGGTTGAATTCTTTTTGCTCGACACTTTCTTTTTTGGAGTCGGTCGGCTTTTGCGAGTTTCAGAGTTTATTGGCGATCGCGCTTGCTCCGTGAGTGAGCTTCCGCAGGGGCTTGGCTCACGTTGCCGAGGGCGCATGCCGATCCAGCGTCAGCAGACCGGCTTGCCGCCCGCGGCGTCAGAAGAGGACGCCGGTCGCAAATCGACGCCCTGGTGGCAGTTTTCGCGGCCAGTGTTGAGCGTCGAGGAGGAGGCAACTGTGTGTGTGCACCAAGAAGAGAGTGAGAGAACTCTCTCTCACACACCGCTGCTGGTGAGGGGGCAGACAACCTTGACATCGCCAGAAAAGCGCCTGCCGCCCGTGCCAATGTTGAACGCGTCCACGTCGGGTTGTTTGTTGTAACTATGACCGAGGTGGTTCGTAGGCTCCATTCGCACCGCCGTAAAAAGAAAGGGAGCATTGGGTTTGTACTATTTACAACGAAGGTCGTGTGTGCCTTCGCTTGTTCCTATTAACAACGAAGTCTAGCTCAAAAAGAAACCATACGTGCTCGTGCTCCTCCTTCGCTGTCCCATCTCCCCACCTCTTTCCCGCCTGGGCGGGGCGGTGGGCGGGCGCGCGGTGCGGCGTGGCGTGTGCGTGTGTGCGACTGCAACGAAGGACCGCTCGCAGAGGACCATTGGGTTTGTACTATTAACAACGAAGGCGCTCTCAAAAAGAAACCGCAACTTGTGCGACAAAGGCTGGAACAAGGCGGCGCGAGCATCGGGAGGCGGAGCGAATATGCGTTCCACCGACCGCATTGGCGCGGGCCCGTACGCGCGGCTGGCGGAGACGCCGCGGCGCAAGGCGGGCGCTCTCTCCTACGCCAACACGAAGAGCTTGCCCGAGGCTGAGATCCACAGGTGAGCTGCACGCACCAAGCCGACGCCGCCTGGCAGAGGAGAGAGGACCCTGGGCAGCCAGCACAGCCACCGAGACCCCACGCAGCACCCGCGCAGCGCAGCGCGCGCCAGTGGCAGCAGCAGCCTCGGCCGCGCCGCCGCCGCCGCCGCCGCCGCCGCCGGCCGCTCACCTCGCGGCACCGCTCTCCGGCATTTAGGCGCGCGGCGCAGCTGATCCAGGACCGGTTCGTGCACGCGGACGCGGTGATGCGCTGCTTCGGCCCCGCCATCCTCTGTCGCTCCGGCGGCGACCCGTCCGACTTTGGCGACGTCAACTTCCCGGAGCTCAACACGCAGTCCAAGTTTCTGGTGCGCAGCGCACACACACAGCGCTCGCTCCGGCTGAGACTGCCTCGCCCCCCGCCCTCCTCCCGCACCCCCACCCCCCTCCCGCACCCCCACTCCCCACCCCCCCTCCTCCCGGCCCCCGCCGCAGGTCCTCGCCGACACCTCCACGCCGCAGCAAGTCTCCCGCTTCGTCGAAAAGTTCTGGGGCCTCGAGAAGCCCGAGATCATCATCTCGGTCACCGGCTCCGCACTCGACTTTGAGCTGCACCCGATCCTGCAGCGCGCCTTCGACAAGGGCCTCACCGCCGCCGCCTCCGCCGCTAACGCGTGGGTGATCACTGGCGGCACGGACACCGGCGTCATGAAGCTGGTCGCCTCCTCCCTCTCCTCCTCCGGCGTCTCAATGCCCATCCTCGGCTGCTCGCCCTTCGGCGCGCCGTTCTGAATCAACTGACAAGCGACGAGCGGTGCGTTGAGAACGATAGGCTTCTCGCCCTTCGGGGCGATCAACGAGAGGGAGAAGCTCGAGCGCGTCTACGGCGGAGCGTCCACCATGGTCTCGACCAAGGCGACCAAGGACGGCGCGCCGCTGAACGCGCACCACACGCACTTTTTGCTCGTCGACTCGGGCAAGCACGGCGTCAAGGCGTACAGCGACACTTCCTAGACACTTCCTAGACACTTTTTGCTCGTCGACTCGGGCAAGCACGGCGTCAAGGCGTGCAGCGACAGAGACCAGCCTGCGGGTGTGCTCTCCACTTAATCGCCATTCCTTCGGAGGCGTGGGGGCGGGAGGGAGACCGGCCTGTGAGTCCCTTGAGCTCTCCGCTGAATCGCCACTCCTCCTGGGCCAAGGCGTGGGGGACAGAGATCAACCTGCGCGTCGCCTTCGAGTCCTTCTACCTCGAGCGAAAGTCGGTGCCGATGGTGCTGCTGGTGGTGCAGGGAGGGCCTGGCACGCTGGCCACCGTCCTCGAGACCGCAAAGAAGGGGTCGCCGATCGTGGTTGTGGCGGACTCTGGCGGCGCCGCAACCGCAATCAAGCAGTACATCGAGGGCGACGGCGAGGGGTCCCTCTCCAACTGGACCTCGCCGCACGGCAAGGTTTGGGCGCCCCTACCGCACCCTCGCCCAAACCCTCACCCTCACCCTCACCCTCGCCGCACCGCACCCTCACCCTCACCCTAACCCTCGCCGCACCGCACCCTCACCCTAACCCTAACCCTCGCCGCACCGCAGGTTGGGCGCCCCCCCCCCCCCCCCAGCTAGTTCTCTCCGGCTCATGACCCAGCAGCCCTTGAGCCCACTCGTTCCCCAACGGACCTCGCCATATCTCCCCACCCTTCCCTAATTTTTTTTTTATTTTTTCTTTCTTCTTTTTTTTTTCTTCTTTTTTCCTTTCCTTTTCTATTTTTCCCTCCTTTTCCCTCCCTTTATCCCTTTCGCCTCCCGTTTGTGTTTCCCCGCTCCCCTCTCCCTTTTTCGTCTCCATCTTCTTCCCCTCTCTCTCTTACTC